AGGAAGGCTGGACTGGACTAGACTAGCTTTAAATGGAACAGAAACTCTGGATGGTGGCCCTATTTCTGGTCCTGATTTTCCATGGCAGGACAGACAGATAGGACATTGGCACCGTTTATTTTCACCCAAATAAATCTTTTATCACCAGACATCCTCCCTTGTGGGTCCCCGAAAATGCCTTTTCTCGCCACACCACAAGGGTCCCACTTCCACTGGCAACACAGATACTCCTTCTCGAAAGGGGACCCAGGACAAGTTCATCTTCGGGGTAGGCAGTGTCACAGCAAAGGAAGGAAGCAAAGGCTCAAGGACTCCGAGGGCCCGCAGGGTCCTTCCCTGTAGGCAGCTGAGGTCGCAGTGGCCCCCGCTTCGCCTCCGCCTGCTCTTCTCTAGCCTGGAGCCATTTCACCTCCAGTGGCCTTAGGGCCTCAGGGAAATGGAGCCTCTCCGGGCGGTCCCACAGTTGCCTGAGCGGAGACTCCCGGCTTCACCGGTGTAATTTTAAAAGGCACCCCAGGAAAAGCAAAGCCAGAACTCGGGGCGGGGATCCTAAGCTCGGGCCTTGTCTCAGTGTCTAGGCTCGGCGTGAGCAGGGCTGTCATGCTGTCAGATGCCTGGGCAGCAATCCAAATAGCCGTTTACTCCTCACAGTGTCCCCACAGAGCCTCTACAGACCAAGGGAAAGACCACAGAAGGCTGGGCAAGGACATGAACACAGCGCTCAGACGGAACAAGTCGATGATAAACCTCACTGTAACTGAAGACATGGGCAAAGGAATGCACAATATCATTTTCACCTAATTGGAATATAATTTGAAAAATTAGAGATTTGAATGCAGCTCTAGTATAAATGAGTATAGTCATGATTCAAATTCAGTAAAAGTCAAAATAGTTATATAAACACCACCTATTCTACAAAAGATTTCAGGCATGGTTTCTTTTATCCTGTTTACAGCAGCACAGGCTATGGGCTCAAAATAATGCGTTACAGAGAATTTATTCAGAAGGAAAATGATTTTTTCCTGTGGCCTGGGTGGGGACCTAAAGAAATGTAGGGTGGGGGTAAAATAGCACTTGATGGTGATCTAGAAAATACCACTTAGGAAGGTAGAAGACCGGCAGTCTGCACGCCTACTCCAACCCTGCCATCGGGTGTCTCACCCCGCCACTGGCTGCGCTGTCAGGGCTGTTTCACGCCTGAAACATTTACAGTGGAGGTTTCCACCCTTCATCGAGGCCTTTCACAGGCTTTTAAAAAATGCTTCCAGTTTTTAAAATGTCAAATAATATTTAAAGGTTTACAGTGAAAAACAGCAGCCCCATGCACCTCCCCCCGTGGTCAGAGAAACCACTTAAAATTCTTTCTGCTGTTTCTTCTGGTAATTACCTCCATAATTCTAGTTAATTTGTGCACACTGCCATCTGTTCACTGACTGCTGTCAGGCATTCTCTGTCAACTTCCCGGACTCCCGTACAACCTCTCTCTTCGCTTCTCAGTAGTTACATTACACACATTTATTGAAATCATTAGTTTCGTTACTATTATGACTCTGTAAATCCAAAGTCCCCACCGGGGCTCCACGTGACCTGTGTTCTCGTGCTGCTCTGTCCTACCCCGTCCCTGCAACACAGGGTCCCTCCCCTCTCTGGCCCACTCAACAAGTGCAGCCCACTCCTGCTTCAGGCCTGTGCACTATCTGTTCTTTCTAGAACAGTTTTCCCACAGGGGCCAACTGCTGTCTCCTTCACTTTAGTCTCTGCTTAAATGTTTCTTTACTCCCTGACTACTTTATGGGAAGTAGCAGATATGTCCCACTTTTCAATCCATGTATACTTCTAAATTTCTTTAATGAGTCACTATCTGATATTACATATTCTTTTTATTATTTTATTATTTTAAAAAATATATCTTTATTGATTTCAGAGAGAGGAAGAGAGAGAGAGAAACATCAGTGATGAGGGAGTCATTGATCGGCTGCCTCCTGCAGCCCCCCG